CTGCCGCTATCTTTTCTTTTGGAGCTTTGATCTGCCACACTTTCTGTAATTCTACTATGCATTTTCTATTGTGGGAAAATGGGAGGGGGGAATTGTATGGAGTTAGATGCTATGTAGCCATAACAAAATTCTTTCTAGAAAGCCAAGGTCATCATTTGACTCTGCACCTCTGCACCTGATCGGAATTGGATGGGTGGAACTGCCAGCATGGCAGTGGGAGATTGGACCATGTGATGGGCTTGTGGATGGGGGGACAAGATGTTGAACTTTCAACTAGGTGCGGAAAACTGGGAAGCTTTCAGATTCGGGTTTTCCCAGATGTGCAAAATGGCCCTCTTAATAAATTGGAACTTTGAGCAATACTTTGCCTTGGACTCTGATTTACTTTTGGATGCTATTTGGAATCCTGACATATCTTTTCTTGAAAACTTGATCATCTTAGGGAGACACCAAAGAAAAGCTCAAATTTTGTGTACGATTAAATGCCATTTCAGCATATAGGTATGATGTCAGTATTATAATAGTCAGTTTTCAGCATGCTTCTGGACAAATCCACGAAGTAATAATGCTTCTTTATGAGACCTGCAATGTATTTTACTTATTATTCATTGAATAGGCTAAGTCCAAGTAAACTAGTAAGCTCCCTGGTTGATTTCACCACTATTTTGCACACTGTAATATAAATAGGTTCATATAAGCAATGATGCGAGTGCAGATAAGGATTAATTGATATATTTGGAATTCTGAGGGTCTGCATTGTACTGTACTTCTAATTCTTGCACAAAACCCAACTTCTGCTCTACTGGATCAGAGCAAAAGTTCTTTTTAATCTAACATTCTGTTTTCAGAGTGGGGCACTTAGATATTTTTGGGGGGCGGACCCTGACAAATAAGAAATGTGCATGATGTAACTTCACAATAAATGTGTATTTATTGTGAAATGATGGAATAAAATGGTTATGCCATTGAAAAATATGCTTTGGACCTATTCTGAGTTTAAAGTTTTTTAGTATGGGCCAAGAGGTTGTATGGAATTATTGGAATCAGATCAGTAATATTTTCCACTTGGAATCGTGGAGGAGGATAGATTCCAAGATCATTCTGAAAATATTAAACCTTCTCAGATACTTTCTGGAGTAGGTTTCTCCCTTCACCTAGCAACTCTGTACACAGAGATTGTCAGTCATTGCTACCCACACCTGTTAGCATAGTAAGAATTATAGCTTTCTGTTTAGCTTACAACTGCAGTTAGCTTTTTGTGAATGGGTGTTTGGCCATTGCTGCTGACAAAATATGTTAATACATGCCAGCAAAATGAATAAAGAAAACAAAGCCAAAAGATGGCACAGTTGTACCAAAAAGAGAGTCACAGTCAAGATTTAAAGAGAATTAAGCCAATTTCAGTGTATAAAACAGATCTTCCACCAGTTTCAAAGAGATTCATGATTGATATTCCAATGCCGATCTTATTTACACCATTCTGTGGTTGTGTGTTTATATACAAATCCATTGTGATTGCAATTTTGTGATTATATGGCTGACTATGCATTCCACTGTTGTTTATGAAATGATGTAGAGAGCATTGCCTTGCTGTAAAGGATCTCTACTGCTTTAAGGAATGGCTTGCGATGGAAGAAAATGCCCGCAAAGGCATTTATAAGCCGGCACTGATGTTGCTTACTTTGCCAGAGTGTAACAGACTTCCCAGCATGCACCATGAACCTACCGTCTGCACCAGGATCCCCCATTTTGGTAAGTGCCTCAGTAAATTACATGACTCTGCAATAAAACTTACCTTATGGAACACTCTCCTCCCAGAAATCTGGATAACCCTCACTCTTTTAGTCTTCTGGAAAGACATCAAGAGCCGACTCTTCACTTGGACACCTGAGGAGAGTGAGGAGAGCTTGGAGGTGATGGTTGGGGCATCCTGGGAGGATGACTGAGGTACAGGTAATCCTCAACTTACAACAGTTTGTTGAGTGACTGTTCAAAATTATAAAAGCACTGAAAAAAGTGACTTATGACCGTTTTTCACACTTACAACAATTGTAGCATCTCCATGGTCACATGACCAAAATTCAGACCCTTAGCATCTGACTCATATTTATGACAATTGCAGTGTCCCAGGATTGCGTGGTTGCCTTTTGCGACCTTCTGACAAAGAAAGTCAACAGGGAAGCAAGATTCATTTAACAACCGTATTACTAAATTAACAACTGCAGTGATTCTCTTAAAAATCATGGCATAAAGGTCATAAAATGAGGCAAAACTCATGTAACAACTGTCTCGCTTAGCAACATAAATTTTGGGCTCAGTGTGGTTGTAAGTCAAAGACTACCTGTACTGTATTTTTTAGCTTTTGGTTTTCTGGTTTTAGTAGTTTCACTGTGGTTGGAAGCTGCTCAGAAGTTGGATGGCCATACCATTTTTAAAAAATAAATAAAATATCTCTCCCTTGCTCCACAAATGTTCTTGTAAAAATTATGTTTTTGATAGATAATCCTGTGAGACCCAGAGTGCTGCTCAATTCCCCTTCCCATCTGTTTCCCAACAAGGGAAGAGTCTATATTTTTTTAAAATGTAAAAAATAGGCATGGGTAATGGGATTCTGATTTAGCCTCTGAATAGTCAAGGACACAACAAAGCAAGAAGGAAAAAGGGTTTTGCCCTTAGGTAGAAGCAAGTACCTGGCAGCTTGGGCACCTATGAAATGTTCAACCTCCACATATCACTGAATGCATTTGAATCAAAGTGATAAGGATCACTTTCATCAAATGCAGGGGCGAGCTTCAAAAATTTCAGTGATGAGTTCTCTGCCCAATTGCTGGGTGGGCACGGCCATTATGGGCATGGCCTAGTCGGCCTCCTGCAACACAGTGAGGGGCCCGTTTTGCCTTCCCAAGGCTCTGGAGGCTTTCCTCGAGTCTCTGAGAGGGCAAAACCTGCCTCCCCCAGGCTCCAGAGGTCTTCTGGGCGGCCTGTTTCCACCCCCTCCCCAAGCCTCCGCACGGACCCTGCACTTACCTCACATCCAAAATGGGCCATATGGAGACTCCTGGGAGGGGCGGGGTGGGGTGGAGCGGGTCCAGTCGGGTGGGCGGGTCCAGCCAGGGGTGGGATTTGGAGGTTCTCCAAACTGGCCATAACATTAGCTTACCAGGCGAACCCACTCCTGATCAAGTGCCCTGAGCTCTGGAAGAACAATGTAACTCACAGAAAAAAAAATCAGGTTCAAATGTTCTTTCCATGGTGATTTATAGTTATCTGCATATCGCTAATCATCCAGCTGGGGATAAAAGCATAGCTAAGATGTTTGGTTGATAACTTAATATTCCTTTAATCATGTCATACTAAATACCTCATCACCCACCCTTTTATCTCAGGGATTATTATATAGGATCTTGATTTTTATTTTTATTTTCTACCTTTTTCTTTCCTCAGATCTGAAAAAAGAAAGCGCAACAAGTAAGCAGTTCTCTTTAGAATCTGGCGTTTAAAAAGAATATATGGTTTTGTAAAAAGTATTGGCAATTTAGCAGGATGGGCAGAAGGGTTCATGCCGGTAAAGATTTAAATCAAATTAACTGGACTAAGAAAGAAAGAAAGAAAAAGAGTCTGAGGTTTATGAGAGCTGTTACTGCCGCCCCATAAATAATCATACTGAGTTCCACATCCATCAAAAAGACTCCAGTGAAGCATATTCAGCCTCCCCATTTAACCCTTGAAAGAAAACCTAGTAATTATTTTTTCAAAAATTTCAGCAACAGGTTTTCTGCCCAGTTGCTGGGTGGGCATAGTCGGCCTCCTGCACCAGGGTAGGTGGAGGGGGGGGGGCTTTTTGCCTTCCTCAGGCCTTGGAGGCTTTCCTTGAGCCTCTGGGAAGGTGAAAACTGCCTCCCCCGGGCTGCAGAGGCCGTTTCTGGCCTTCTAGAACTTCCAGAAGGCCCGTTTCCCCCCCTCCCTGAGCCTCCGGACGGACCCTGCACTTACTTCGCATCCAAAACGGGCCACATGGAGACTCCTGAGGTGGGAGGGGCCAGCCAGGGGTGGGAACTGAACCCGGGTGAACCTTAGCAGCCCACCCCTGGCTTTGTCCACTAAGGGGAATGTACCATATACTGTTGTTAGACTATCCTGTTTAATTTTGTTTCTCTTCAGAAACTTGTTACAAAGGAAATGGGGTGACATACGAAGGTTCGGTGAATGTCACAGCTTCTGGTCTTCCTTGTCAGGAGTGGAGTGCGCAGGTAAGAACACCATTTTTCAAAGTGGAGAAAAGCTTTGCTGAATATGTATCTCCCTATGGGAATCATTGATCTCAAATCATTTCTGGGCTGAGCAAGGAAGTAGATTAGCCTTTGTGTAGAGGAGAAGAGAGATGGGGGCTTGCTTATGTCAAGTTGATTTGCAGATTAAAAAGGGCTTTATGTTGGGAGATGAACACGGTTTGAACTGTATTGCTTAGTAAAAGGCTAAAATGAGAAACGCATTGCTTTCGTGCGTGTGGATTTTGTCTTTTTTTTGCAAAATGAAATGGACCAACCTTCCTGTCTAATGTGTGGGTTAAGATGCAAGTTCTCTTCTGCACTTCTCACTGATTGTTCTGTGTTTTTTTTTCTTTTAAAAAAGAAACGCACTAAAAATAAGAATGGAAATGATTTTTTTTTAAAAAAAAATGGATACAGTAATGTACTTTGAAAAGTGGAGAAAATCAATTCAGGTTCATATTTTCCTGCAGAACTTTCTTTTTAAACAGATTAATGTGGCAGTAGAATAGACTTGACAAATGGAAGGATATGCGAAACATATGGCCGGAAAACAAGTTGATCATTCCATTCATATTTTTAAATGGGGAAAGTATAGCCTAACACTGATTCATCAGCCCTTCCTCCCTGGAGCTTTCATTCTTTACAAATTCTGCTCTGATTGCTTCAAAAGTGCCCAAAATTTGAAAAAATACTTGAAAAATATTTACTATCTGTTACTAGGTTCCTCATGCACATAGAAAAATACCTGAGATTTTCCCAGACCTCTTCAACGCGATCAATTATTGTCGTAATCCAGGAGGTGAAAATGAGCGGCCCTGGTGTTATACAAGAGATCCTTCTATCCCGTGGGAATACTGCCACATACCTCAGTGTGAAGATGGTAAGATCCCATTGCAAACAGTATTCAATCAAATGGAGTGGCTTGGTGTGAATTTTATGCAGCAGATCTAGTCCAAAAGCTGTAAACTCGCAATTTGAAAATTTTGATTTGGCATTACTCTATAAATTTCTGCTTATGTTTGGAATTGGTTTATGGTTGTAAACAGTAATACAAATAATCCTCAACTTACAACCATTTAGTGTTTAGTGGCTATTTGGAGTTACAGCAACACTGAAAAAAGTGGCTTCTGATCACTTTTCACACTTTTGCTACCTTACCACAGTACATTAAAATTGTCTGTCCCAAAGGTACTTTTTCCAAAAGTCAACTGGACTTTCTTGTTTTTTTCTTTGAAAATATTTCACTTTTCAGAACTGAAGAAACTTCTTGGTTGAGAAGTGAAATGTTTTCAAAGAATAAAACCCAAGAAAGTCTAGTTTTCTTTTGGAAAAGGAACAACCATAACCTGAGAGATTGAGAATCTTCATACATATTAAGGTTGACTAATACCAATAAATAAATAAATCTGATAATCAATTATGCTTTTTTCAGGTTGAAAGTTAACCAATAAAGACGCATCTGTTTTTGAATTTACTAAGTTGCAAGGGTTTAATATGACTTACTGTACAGTAATAAAAATAAGTATATCACTGGATCTTAGCTATTCACATGTCTCTGGCATGTTCTTCACTTTCCATTAAAAGCAAAATAGTGATTAGACAACAATTGAACATCATACGTCATAAAGTCATTGTAGGAGTAGAGTTCGATTTGATTTGGAGATTTTTTCCTTGGAACAGTCGCACAGTACCCTGTTTCCTTGAAAATAAGACCTCCTTGGATAATAAGCCCAATCAGGCTTTTGAGCACATGCGCTATAATAATCCCTTCCCCCAAAATAATCCCTCCCCCAAAATATTTAAATGCATGTGTAGCCGGACCCCACCATTTCCTGGGGGGGGGTAGGGGGGAACATGCTCCACACACCCCACATGCACCTGCCATCCACACAGAACGGCCTCATGGAGGCCGCTCCCGCAAACCCTAGTTACTGCCCCTGTTCTCTTAGTGGCGGCTGCAAAAAGAGTGGCAGGCCCAATGACGCTATGGCTGGCAAGAGTGTGCCAGAAATAGAGTCAGAACTTCCGGCCCTCTCTGAATCAGCTGATCCATGGACTGCGCGCTGAGGTTAAGGGGCCTCCTGCACCTCAAAAATAATAAGACCGCCCCGAAAAGAAGGCCAGCGCTTATTTCGGGGGTCAAAAGAAAATAAGACCTGGTCTTATTTTTGGGAAAACCCAGTATTTTAATCTCAATAGGGCATATTGCTTGTTCTAAAATCATTTGGAGGTCATACTAGGGAGGATTAAAACCATTTTAGAAAGATTTGATGGCCCCTTTCAGGACTGGATCAAACACAAAGACTGGTTCCAAAGGATTGCTTGCAACGAAACAGCCCTCCTGTCAGGTGGTTTTGATCTTTCAAAGACTCGTGCAGCTACTGTGAAGACTGTCCCCAGCTGTCAGTTCATGCAGGAAGATGTAGAGCTGTTTGCTGGCAACCTCAATGAAAGGTTGTCTGGGCTTTTAAAACAGCTGCAGTCTGGCTTTCCAGAGAAGGTGTCTGCTTTAATGTTACAGGAGGAGGTGCTTTGTTTGGGCCAATGAATTTTGAACAGTGGCTCTTTCAAATGCATTATTCCACCTCATTAAATATTTCTGTCCATGATCACTTACAAAACAGTCTTTAATTTTGCCATTTGAGGACTAAGAATGCTTTGATTTTCTCCTCAACTATTTTTGTACACTAAAAAGAAGGAGCCCAATCCCTATTCCCTTCAACTCACTGGGCAGTGCTTCTGCTTATCCAGGCTACTTCCATACTAATTTCCATGGCCATATGATAATAGTATAAGCAACGGTGCCTCTAAAATTGAAGTCTTGTTTGTTTCTATTTTAGATTCTTTGGCACTAGGAACAACAAGATTGAGTACAGCATCTCCACATTTCCCTTTCTTCCCCCCCCTCTCTCCTACCTACTCCATGACTGTCGTCATCTCCATCATCTCCAGCTTTGCAATGGTCATCATTCTCATTATTACAATCCTTATTTGTTGTCGGAGACGCAAGCAATGGAAAAGCAAAACAAGGTAAGTGTTATCTCAAAAGTGCTTTCTTCCTTACAAGAAAGTCAAACTGCCTCTTGAAAAAAAGCATCTTTGGGACAACCATGACCTGGATGACTGAGAATCTCCATAGACATTAAGGTAACTGTTAGTGGGCACAATCAGATTCATCAAAATGAAGAATGACATAAACTTTGCTGAATTGAAGAGCCAGTTTAGTGTTGTGATTAAAGTGCTGTACCAGAAACCGAAGGACAGCAAGTTCCAATATTCCCTTAGGTGTGAAAGTCAGCTGGTTGACTTTGTGCCAGATTGTCTCTCTCTTGTCATTCTACCTATTTCTATGTGCAGAGCTATGTATTTTGTGCTTTTCCCCAGTTCTTTCTCTTCTCTTCTGCCACATACTGCCATATCCACTCTCCAAACTTTTTTTTTTTTTTGGTCTTTCTTATGGACAGTTGTTAAGTCTGGAATGCTATGTGACAAGTGTTTGTGTATCTCAATTCTAAAATCCCAGCATAATTTAGCTTCTTCACTTTTTATTACTTTGTCTGTTTTGTAGTACCACCAGTTTTTGCTTTCAGGCAAATGGTATTTCTTGCAGATCTTCTTTTATTAACTCTTCTGTTATAATCCTCTGTTGTTGTTTTTTCATTACCCTTACATGGCCATAAACGGGGGTTATATGGCCCAAAATCTTATAGCAATAGCAGTTAGACTATAAAACTGGAAGAATCAGTTTATGGAAGGGAGCTTTTTCTTTATAGGCAGATTTAGCCTTTTGTAAGCGTTATCTTTAGTGCGAAGTATATGGATATAGATCAGGGGTTGCCAACCTTTTGGACCTCAGGGGTCACTAAATTCATAATTTTAAATCCCGCGGACCACTAAAATGGTCTGTCTAAAGACCGGGTGGGCATGGCCAGTTTGATGGCACTCATGTTGAGGGGCACCTCGCTGGCCTCTACTCACCCCTTCCCTGCCAGCCAATCCTTGCCTCCCCGCCCAGGCTCCTTAGGGCCCCAACAGGAAACAGTTGTTGGAGCTAAGCAGCCACCATGAAAAAGAGTTGGCAAAAAGCTGGCTCAGCTCAAATTGGATCTGACCAAGAAGGAGGCTCAACAGAAGCACCTCACTGAGGACTACGAGCAGAGGCTTTCCAAGCAGACCTGTGGGAGTGCAAGGCCAGGTACCAGCACCTGGAGGCTCAGCAGGCTGAGACAGTCAGCCAGTTTCAGACTATGATGCAGTCCCACTAGAACGAGGCCCTCCAACTCTTTGTCACCAGTGGCACTTCCCTCCAGCCTTCGCCCTAAGCCCTGCACCAGGAGGCTGAAGCAGAGCCCAAGTTGGAATTTCTGGCCCCCTCCGACCCACACAAAAAGACACTGAAGGGGGAGATTCTCTGAAGCAATGCAAATGTTCATTACATATATCTGGCCCAGGGACCGTAGTTTGAGCAGCCCTGATTTAGTGCAATATAAAAACTACAAATATTTTTTCTGTAGACCACCCAAATTTTCTCATGGACCACCAGTGGTCCACCGCTGATGTAGCTCCCAATATAGATGCTCCTAAGAGTATTACTAGAAGCAGGATTGCATACCTTAAATCAGGGTTCCATAATCCCTGGTCCATGAACTGGCATTGGGCTGCAGCATGCCAAAAATGGGGCAGCGAAGTCCCATCCATGTGAAACCACCCCCCTCCAGTCTGCAGAAAAATTCCTCTCCACGGAACTAGTCCCTGGTACCAAAAAGGTTGTGGGCCGCTACCTTAAATGACTGGGAAATAAATAACCACCTAGTTTAATTTGTCTTTTATCAAAATGATAACATTCCTCTATTTATTTATTTAGCATACAGCATGGACTAACATTCTAAATTAAATTTTATTTTTATATATCATATTTATAACATTCCTCTATTTTTCCATATTCCATATATCCTGGCTGAATGGACACTAGAATTTTTAAGTCACAAAAAGTTGTTGGTTTGTTTGCAAGGCTTGTTCCAATGAAGCCACAGATTCTTTCTCCCTCATTCATTTCAGAGAATTTGCACCCCCAGCTCTGACAACTCTTCCTTCGGAGCTCTTGTTGGACAGGCTGCACCCCAACTCTATGTACCAACGCATGCCTCTACTTTTGAATCCCAAATTATTCAGTTTGGAATATCCACGAAATAATATTGAATATGTGAGAGATATTGGGGAAGGTGCCTTTGGTCGTGTCTTTCAAGCAAGGTAAATGAACTGTTAAACAGTCATGATTTGGCAGCTGTCACTGAGTTCTTTCTGTTTAAACTCCTGCAGAGCCTGAAAATGGGGACCTATTTATATTAATTGTATGTCACAGAAAGACTACATGAATCAATATTACTGTAGTTATATCCTCATAAACTTCTTTCCAGTTAGAGAGCTTTTCCACTTATTCTAGGCATACTAAGGCCTTCGCTGCTGTGGTACCATTTTGATTAAGGGGGAATTCTGACTTAGATGCATTTAGTTATGATCTTACCAAGAGCAGCTTGGTCTATTGGCTCCTCAAACACTAAATACATGACTACTGGAGGAATATATTATCACTAGAGAATATATTATCACTTAATGTGGTGATTTTATATCGCCATGAAGAACAGTTGCAGGAATTAGGTATGCCTAGTTTAATGAAAAGAAGGATTGGGATGACATGATAGCAGTGTTCCAATATCTCAGGGGCTGCCACAAAGAAGAGGGAGTCAAGCTATTCTCCAAAGCACCTGAGGGTAGGACAAGAAGCAATGGATGGAAACTAATCAAGGAGAGAAGCAATCTAGAACTAAGGAGAAATTTCCTGACCGTTAGAACGATCAGTGGAATGACTTGCATTCAGTGGTTATAGGTACTCCAACACTGGAGATTTTTAAGAAGAAATGCTATAAGGTTTCCTGCTTGAGCAGGGGATTGGACTAGAAGATCTCCAAGATTTCTTCAAACTCTGTTATTCTGAGTAAAATTAATCTAAATCAGGAGTGCATAACCCCAAATCTGTTGATTGCACTCAACTACCCAAGATCTAATTTGTAGTCCTCCATCCCTCAAGCTTGGCTGGCTGGAGAATTCTGGGAGTTGAAGTCCACACATCTTAAAAGTTGCTAATATTGAGAAACAATGTTTTAGACATAATCCTGTCATAAGGCAGTTTATTGTAGTAGTAGTTTATTTAAACTACTAATCTTGTAATTCAACTGCTACAGAAATGGCTTCCCTGTCACCTGTTTTTAGTGACAGAAAACAGAAATAGAAAAACCTAATATATGATGCTAAAGAATATAATATATAAAATAATAAAGTAATTTTTAAAAGTAGTGAAGTCATGCTCTGAAAGAAGCTGTAGCAGTAAGGGCTTGTAAATAATTCTTTCAAATTGCAGAATTTTAGTTTTGTTTCTGCAAAATTCCAGATCTTACGTTTTAGCTCTAGAAATCAATTAAGGTACCCCCATCCAAATTAGAACACAGCTGAATTTCCATTGCTCCAACAGCTCAAGGAAGTCATGCCATTTTCCTGGTCTCTTTCTCACAGGACAAAATATGTTGCAGGTACATTAAAAGAGATTCCTGTGGCTCATCATCAGAACCCAACAGTTTCTTGAAGACATTTCATTGAGCTTAAATATTTGCAAAGCATTTGATGCTCTTGGTTACAAAGTTACCCAGGCCTGGCTTGCAGTTGCTTTGCCACTCTGGGTGATTTGATTTCAGACTGGCCTTTTGCCTTTTGCTGGCATTTGACAATGATGTGACATTTGTTGCATTCAGCTGCACCTGTCTGACTGCCGTATGGCCAGAACAGCTATCATAAAAGCTAGAAATATGTTTTGGAGACTAGAACCATTGAATGGCTCCAGAATAGTAAAATAGCTTGACATTTAAGCCAACAGCTGAGCAGGTTGTCTGTATGCACTTACTGTTCCTTACTACATATAAGTACAGAGAGTTATTACATGACTAGGATCTCTGCCTCATGGCCAGACCAGATGTATCTATTAACGTGAGATAGTTAGAAGTAGAAAATCCCTTCATCAGCTTTAATCGTATTCTGTTTGAAGTGTGGTCCTAATTACCAATTGCTTTGCATATTCTTTTCCCCCCTTATCAGCTTTTTGAACTTCAGGAAGGATGCAAATAAATAACCATACTTTATGAAGCAGATATTGTTTCCTGCCATGAGGCCTATTATCTAAGTTAGTCTTCCTCTATAGGGATGATATACTGGTAGTGATATGCTGTGATTTCTTGCTATGGTCTATCATATCCTATGTTCTGTCATGGTAATAACAGTGGGATGGGATGTCTTCCCATCATAACTGATGAGAAGAAAATGTTTTCCATACAATGCTGAAGTAAAGTATAGATTGTAGTTTGAAGTAAGGCAGACATGAGGTGGCTATAGTAATCTCTTGTATCATTCTATAACTCATCCTCCTTTAATTCTCCTGTCTCAGTTAATCATGACAGTCTAACAACTGATGTCTGGAAATTTTGGGAGTTGCGTTCCATAAGGGACTCCACCCGACCTGTAACTTTTCTTTCTGCATCTTCCCTTAGGGCTCCTGGACTGCTTCCTTATGAACCCTTCACAATGGTTGCAGTGAAGATGCTCAAAGAAGAAGCCTCAGCAGACATGCAGGCTGATTTTCAAAGAGAGGCAGCTCTCATGGCTGAATTTGACAATCCAAACATTGTCAAACTTTTAGGTACCAAAGCCAGTCCCCTCTGTTTTCTCCTTCACATGGTAGATGTCAGTTTTAAAATGTGTCTTTACAGGATTGGCTTAATTATATAGACGACCATCAAAGATGACTTACTGATGAAGGAGTTGGCAGTACCAGAACCTGAGGTTTGATCTGGCAAAGCTTTAGATACATCTGGCTCTTTAGCATCCTGTGCAAAATTACTTGCAAGTTTTGAGAGTCTTCTTGACCTCAACCTAATATTTCCAAAGACCCAACACTTCCCTTCCCTTTCTTTCCATAATACAGTGCATCATTTGATAGTCTCATTCTGGCCCTTCTCTGTCATTTCCCACCAAAGGTTATTGAGTGTTGCAATCAGAATCAGAACCAGTTTTCCCTAGAAATAACACCTGAAGGTTTTTGTTGTGTCTTCCTCTGGCTGAAAGGATTGTCTATATTTCAGCAGCAAAAAGGAAAAGGAAAACAGGAAATAGACTCTCTGCTGGAGAAATGTGTGTGTGTGTTTATTAACACCATATTGGATATATTAGGAAAGGCCAATGGGTTATGGGACTACTGAGCATCCTTTGACCCAAACTTTCATGTGGACACTTTTCTTGGAGTCAGATCAGGGGTGGGTTTCAACCGGTTCGCGGCGGTCCCTGCGAACCGGTTGGTCGCCGAACCCGGAAGTAAGTAACTTCCGGGAACGGCGAAGGCCCCCCCCCCCCTGCGCCCGCTCCTTACCCGGTTTTGATGAAT